ATTCTATTCTATTCTATTCTATTCTATTCTATTCTATTCTATTCTATCCTATCCTATCCTATCCTATCCTATCCTATCCTATCATACAAGTAGTCCTCGACTTATGGCCATAATTGAGCCCAAATTTTCTGTGGCTAAGCAAGACTTGTTAAGAGTTTTGTCCCATTTTACGACTTTCCTTGCCACAGTTGTTAAGTGAATCATGGCAGTTAATAAGTTAGTAACACAGTTAAGTGGGGCCGTGGTGGCTCACGTGGTAAGACAGTGGCTTGCACACTGCTGAAGTCGGCAGCTTGGAGGTTTGATTCCCGTGAGTGAATAATCTGCGCAGGGATAAGAAAGGACCCTCCCCTGAATGCCTACCGGCATTCAGGCATCCCGCGGGTAAAGATAACACTGCCCGAAAAAAATCTTTCCACAGAGGGAGTCAGCCACCTTGGTGATCGCTGGCTAACACGTGCCATACCCTAAATAAATAGTTGTTAAGTGAATTGGGCTCCCCCGTGGACTTGGCTGGTTAAAAGGTCGCAAAAGGGGATCACGTGACTCCATGACACTGCAACCGTCATAAATACATGCCAGTTGCCAAGCGTCTGAACTTTGATCACATGACCATGGGGTTGCTATAACAGTCCTAAGTGGGGAAAACGGTCGTAAGCCCCATTTTTCAGTGCTGTTTTAACTTCAAGCCCTAACCTAACCCTCACTTTCTTCAGTCTCAGCTGGGTGGACTATCCCTCCCAGAGTCCTCAGCCATGTTCATATTAACTGAGGTATTCTTTGCTAACCGTTGGCTTCTATTCCCTGTCCTTGCCTTTCCTCTTAACAGTTGGTGGCCCCACTTTACCTAATGGAAGTGTTGGCCCTGCATATGGGAAAAAAAAATGCTTTCATGCTGACGCTGGCCTGCAGCCCAAAGAACGGATGTATTTGGCCTTCACTTCTTCTGTGCTCGCTTCCTGTTATCTTTTGCAGGGCATGCAATAACATTTCCATAAATAGCCAGACACAAATAAAACACTTTGATTGATGAAGCTGCATCTTCTACCATTTTGGGGGATTCAGGAATTGGGGGGCTGGGGAGCTGGACTGGAGAAAACAATTCATTGTTGTAAAATGTAAATTCCATGAAAAGTGCTTCAGATGTTTCCAAAGTCATTCATTCCCGAATTGTTCCAGCCACCTCTGCTCTTGACCAGCGTCAGGTTTCTTGAAGCTCTTAACTTAAAAGTTCTTTTAATAAAAGAGAAAGCTGCATCAGAGCAAAATGCCAGCTTTCAGAATCATTTTTATTGGCAACAGTGTCATTGGGCCTTCACTGATACGGTGAAGAACACTGTAGAAGGACTTATTTATTTAGTAAATGGAAGTCTTGGCACTCATCATTTCTCCTTTGGCAACCCTTGGATAAATACATGAGTCAGCCATTTTGTGTCTGTGCCTTCTAGATGCGCAAATAGGCAGCACAGGGGCTGTACCTCAATTAGACTGGGCCCTGGAAATTTTGTCATCGTTATCATCCATAATAACCTGTGAATTTTGCAGGAGGTGGTAGCTTTTGGTGAGCTTCTTCATCTTGAGGCATTATTCTAGTTGGCAAAAGTAGCGTGCAAGATTCTTTGGAAGTGAGCGTGGATGGAGGTGTGAAAAATGGAAAGAGGATGTAAAAGGCAAAGGCCATGCATGAAACCCATTCTTGGAACAGTTGGATGTAAAATTACAGAGTAGCTTGAAATCTCTGGAGTTGGTGCCAACCATTATTTAAGGTGACTTTTTGAAGGACAGCAGTGAAGTCCCATTTTGCCAGAAATTATGTATTAATTTAACAGAATAACGAAGTTGGAAGGGACCTCTTCTAGTCTAATCCTCTGCTCAGGCTGGAAATTCTATACATACCATTTCAGACAAATGGCTATCCAGTCTCTTCTTAAAAACCTCCAGTGACGGAAAACCCCCCATTTCTGGAGATAAGTTGTTCCACTGATTAACTTAGCTTAAGGAATTTTTATTTTCTGTAGCTGTTCTTTGAAGTGCTAAGAAGTGTTTAGCTATTGGTAGGGAGGTCTGGGTAGCTAGGTGGTAACTCTACCTTGGTTTTTCAGTAGTGCAAAGTGAGATGTTTTCATCCCAGTTTGCAACTCGGTCAAAAAAAGGTAGCTGAAAGGGAAGATGGGAATTAGTCATTTCATTTGATTTCAGAAATGATAAGATGCCCAGTAGATACCAGCCTGTTATGACTTCTTCTCTGGATAACATTGGCTTTTTCCTTTTATTTTCAGCTTCTCTTGTTACATTATAAATCAAGCACGGAAGCGCAGGATAATAATGGCAACACTGCACTCCATTTAGCCTGCATTTATGGGCATGAGGATGTAAGTAGATCATTTAAAACAGCAGTTCTTATAGGTGTCCTTCAGTTCTGTAATTCAAGGGTCTCCAGTCTTGTCAACTTTAAGACAATTCCTGGCTGAGGAATTCTGAGAGTTGAAATCTGCAAGTCTTAAAATTGTCAAGATTGGAGATGCCCGCTGAAGCTAATGAGTGTCATTTGGACCATAACTTTCTTTTCCATCTCATTTGAGGGGCAAGCAAATTCCAAATGTTTTAGTTTCTTTTCCTATCAAGTGTTCAGTTATTCTTGCAGATACAAAACATAAAAATAGGCTATTAATTGATTTAAATTATTTTTATAACATTCTTTCTCCATTTCCTGTGCTCAAGACATCACTACTAGCTGTTCAAGATTTCTCTGAAACACATTAAATCCAATGCATGCTAACACAAAATTGCAGTAATTAAAACATTCCATGGGGGCCTTCCGGTTTGAGCTTCTTCAGCGACAGACCGAAACCTTTTCGATCTGTGCTCGCCGCTGGAGCGCCCCGAGCCGGCTGGTTTCGGGGCTAAGCCACCCCGTAGAGGTGGTGAAGAGGGGGGAGACTGCCTGCAGGGTTGAGGAGAGCCGCATCTCTCCTCCCCAGCTGGCCATTATTCCCTTTCCCGAAGGCGGTTACAGCGGTGGTCAGAAATGGCCACCACAAAGAAGAACTTGACCGGAAAAGAATGTGCAGGAGGAAGAATAGAAGAGAAAGTTTTGGTTGACCGGGTCAAACAGCAAAAGCAACAAATAAGGTACCCTGGAATTGAAACTGTTAAAAAACAATAACATTGTTCCCTAAGAAGATTTTTAAGCTTCAAAGGAGAGAGAAAAGGGAAAAGATTTGGTTTTCTCTTTTTCCTATACTGACAGCTAAGAGACTTAAGCAAGAAATTGGAAAATAATCCACTTTGACATCAATAGGCATTTAATGCTGAAAATAAAAGGTCAAAGGGATAATAAGATTTCTGGATAATCAAAAGCTTTTGAAAACAGGAAAGGAGAGAAAAAGAATAAAAGGGTAGGATCTGGAAGGGAGGAGACTGCCTGGAATTAAAAAAGAACTTATAGCAAAATCTCAACAAGACTTCCAAAAGATACATTCTAATTGAAATATCGCAACAAAAACCCCAGGAAGAGAAAGTCGAAAAAGAAATAAGAAGATATAACTCGGGACTATCTGGATTACTTGATGATTTCTGGATTCTTGGTTATTGTTTTGAATGACTAAAATCAATCGGGTGGTTGTTTAAAACTGTTTAAAATGGCTCCACTTGTAGAAGAACTGAAAATGGAACTTAAAAAGTACAAAGAAGATGCACAAGAAGGGAGAGGTTCTTTTGGCTTCATATTTCAGTTTTTAGAAATGGAGATTTGGAATTATGAGAAACAACAAGAAATGCCTGCAGAACAAGAAGATTGCGACAAAGAAGAAGCCATCTTTAATGAACACGTAATCTTAGGTGGGGGGAAAAAAGGAAAGGGGGGAAAGAGAATGGAAAGTTTAAGATTGGGAAAAACAACTCCAAAAAAAATATAATAGAGTGAAAAATAAGTATAAAATCAGAAAGCAACAGAAGAGGGAAATGCAGAAGAGAGAATTAGAACTAGAGAGACAAGGGGGTAAAAAGGGGAGGGAGAAGATGAGAGGGAAGAAAGGAAAAGAAGTTATAAAGGACAGAAGCAAAATATAGAGAAACGGCCTATTTAGAGATAATGGGTGAAAACTTAATGGAAAAAGGAATTCTGCAAAGGTACATAAGATAGTATGGTTATATTAGAAGCAGAAATAATTTTAGAAAATATGAAACAATGTATGATTAAAATGTCTGATAAAATAGTTATCGTGATTCAGTGGAATGCTTGTCAATAAATAAATGTAGCAAAAGGTATATTTAATGATTTATAAAACGTGAAGAGAAATAAGGGAAAAATTAATTATGGAGATTATATATGTTTTTAAGGAAGTATGATATTTAATTGAAAAGAAGTGTTAAAGATGTTAAGATTTTAATGATTATTAATGATAGAACTGAACTGGAATGGAATGAGGATTTATAATTACATATATTTACAATCTTTCTTTTTTAATAAAAGAATATAGTGTGTATTATAAGAATGTACTAAGCAGAATTCGATTGGGTGTTATGTATTATGTATTATATTGAAGGTCATAAACTTAAGGTACATATTGAAGTTTAAATAAGAGTTGAATGGATGTAATTAAAAGATATAAAGGTGTCATATTCCAATTAGTAACTACAGGAGAAAATTTGTTTAATGAGAAAAGATAATATGAAATTGAAACAAAACAGACAAAAGTATAAATATAATGATTTGAATTGAGATGAGATAATCAAAATACAATTGAGAAAATTAAAAGAGGGGAAAAACTATATAGAAAATGTAAAATAGTATAAGATATGGAATAGATAGAACACAAAAAGGGAGCATAAAATTGAGTTTTGTGTCTGTATAAAGAAGTTCAACCCGGGACTGTGCTATTTTCAAAAAAGATGTTTTACTTGTATTTTGTATGTGTGAAAACTCAAATAAAACTTTATTAAAAAAAAACATTCCATGGGGGTAAAAAATCCGAAGATAGTCTGGATGAAGACATGGGTGTCTTTTGACAGTGGCTCTGTTGCTGTTGTGGTTCTTTGAAAGTCAAAATCTTGAGGGAAATGTTTAGAACAGGCAACCTCCTTGCTCTTTTGTTATATGGAAAAAATGTGTGAACTGTGTGCGTGGTGTGCTTAACCTTGTTGTGTGTGTGTGTTGTCTGAGAGGAAGCATTCATGGCACAGCAGGATTAATCCCTGGATAAATAAATCTCTGGATGGATAAAATGCAAAGCAGCAGCTTCCATCGGGCTGTGTATAAGCCATGGCTTTCGTGCAAAGTTCTTATCTTGGTTGTTCTGTTTTAACTTCGTAGTGCGTCAAGGCTCTGGTTTATTATGATGTCCATTCTTGCAAGTTAGATATTGGTAATGAAAAAGGAGACACTCCTCTTCACATAGCTGCTCGCTGGGGCTACCAAGGGATCATCGAAGTCCTCCTGCAGAATGGAGCCAACCCAGGCATTCTGAACCGGATGAAAGAGACACCTGTGCAATGTGCATTAAATTCAACGGTACTTTTTAACCAACTAGAATGTTCTTAGGATGCTTTGAAGCCAAGACATCCTGCATATTCTCACTGTTTAATTGCAGAGAGGGCAGAGTCCTTAGCAGATACTACAACAATAATTAAATAAAAGAGCCAAGGTGACACAGTGGTTAGAATGCAGTATTGCAGGCTGACTCTGCCTACAGCCTGAAGGTCAATCCTGACTGGCTCAAAGTTAGTCTAGCCTTCTATCCATCCGAAGTTGGTAAAATGAGAACCCAGATGTTGGGGGAAATATGCTGACAGTGTAAACTGCCCAGAGAGTGCTATAAAGCAGGGTGCTCCAACCCTCGGGTCGTGGCCCACAACTTTTGTAGTGCCCTCCACATGATCTGTTCTTTCTTTAAACATATTTTGTTCTGGTTTTTAAGGAGAACTTATTTTTAAAAAAGAAACAGCTTTGCACAGCCATTTGAAAGTAGCTTCTGATTGCTAATGTTGGAGAAAGGTCATAGTTGTGTTTTATACATACTCATACACACAGAAGAGCTAAAAGAGAAATATAGAATCTCCATCCATATATTCTTATATTTGCTTTTATGCACAGTAACAGTCCTCAAAGTTTTCCTCTTTGTTTTTTTAGCATCTTCAATACAAATTAATAAAAACAAGCAGTCTTGTGACACCTTAAAAGCCTAAGCAGTTCAAGTTTAATACCATTCTGCTTGGCTTAATTTTTTTTCTCACTTTGCCTAAATTTATGTTGTGAAGCTATAAAAAAACTGTGTGACTTTTGAAATGCATTTGACTAGCTTCTCTTAAGTTTTCTGAAAACAGACTTTATTATAATTTAGCACCATCTATGAACTTAGTTTATTTATTTGCTGGTAGCATATATGATATCCAGGGGGTTAATTTCTTGAGATCTGCACTTCTTGCTCATTGGGTTTTAATCTCTCTGCAGATTGTTTCCTTAATGGAACTGAACTACCTCACTTTTGAAAAAGGACAACATGCTTCTCAGGTAATTCAAAGAATTGGTCCCAACTCTTAGCTTAAAAATATCCTCCTGATCAGCTGTTAAATAAATGAGGAACGCAGCCAACTTTCTCCTTTTGATTTCTTTATGGGGTCCACTAGTCACCCGTCCAATCTTCCTCGTCTTGTGAAGACACCATCAGCCAAGTATCATCCACCTCCAGTTTATCTTTCATAATACCAGTGACAACAGTGACACCAGAAGAAACCAAATCTAATTATAAAGAGGTAAGCTGATTAACTAGTGAGCATTTGGCAGGGCAGCCCAAGCTCGAATATAACTCCCGTTTTGTCGCTCCTTCTTAAATAGCATCAGGCTCCGTCCGTTTGATTGGAAGATTCAGGAGGCCGAGGATACATAACATGCTCCTTATGTGCTGCTAACTTCAGATTTCAGAAGGAAGATTGAAGTAGATGAACATAGAATATGAAATATAGAAGATGAAAGATGCACAGATGTATACTGGGGAAGAGGATGATCTTTTTAACTGGAGCTTAAAAGATCAAAATTGTTAGGCACCTCATAAATTTTAGAAGAGAGAGCATTTCAGAATGAAAGGGCTGCTACGAATAAGTCTGCTTACAAGATAGATAGTGCATAGTTCTTGCACTTAGCAATCAGCTAGATTTGTGACAGTAAAGGACATTTGTGAGATATTTGCTTGCTAGTTCATTCATCCACTCATTTGTACCCTGCCTTTATTATTTTTACAAATAACTCAAAGCCGTGAACATATTCAATACACCTCCCTCCTCTTATTTTCTTCACAATAATAACCCTGTGAGGAGGTTTGAGCTGAGAGGCAGTGACTGGCCCAAGGTCACCCAGTTGGCTTTCATGGCTAAGGTGGGGCTTGAAAACCCCCAGTATGCCACTTTTTAGTGTGGTGTCTTATTCATTAGACCAAATTAGCTTTCTATCCCGGTGTCTAAATTTCAGGGTCCTTTTATGTCAAATCAAACCTTCAGCTTCAGCAACCATTTCACATGTTCATAGCTTGTTCTGTATGTGCTGCAGCTTTTGGGCTGGTCATAAGAGCAAAAAAAAAAAAAAAAAACCCTTTGCAATACTGTATAACAGTTCTGTAATAGATGCCAATTCAGGTAAACACGCTTTCTTTTTCTGGTGTTGTTCATTCTGTAGGTGGACAAACTTTTAAGAGCAGTTGCTGACGGAGATTTGGAGATGGTAAGAGCAGTTCATTGGATCCATGCTTTGCAAGACTGTAGATGCTGGTGGGCGCATATACTGATGATGGTGCTAAGTAGAGTGTCCCACTATAAGCCAGCAGTTCTTAAAGAAAATCCAAGTGGAAATAGATGGTCAATTGCATAATGAGCATATCTAGAATTGTGCTCTCAACTCTTCTTGTGGGGCAGGCTGGAAAACATCAGCCTGTTCTGGTTGCCCACCATTCTGGTAATGGGAATAGCAAAATGTTCGGGGGGGGGGTGTGATCCTGAAGTTTTCAGTCACCATAACACTAAGCAACAATTACAAAAGCATCCAAATGAGGGTCCTCAAATGTTCGGTGGGTTTGAGTTGCTTCATCAGTTTTCTACAGGGAAGGAGGACAATAGGGTGGACTTTGCAAGACAAGTCCACTTCAGAGTCTTGAGTAGGACTATTCCATGTGACAACTTAAACTGTGGCAGTTCCACTTACATGTGTCCATTGTGTAGGCATAGAGTGTATTGATATAGTTTTGTCTGTGCCATTTTTAAAAATGCCATTCTTGGTTGATGTAGTAAGATATGGTGCAGTAGCCTAGAGGTGGAGCTCTCGCCTCAATCAGGAGGCTGTGAGTTTGATCCTAGGTAGAGGCAGATATTTCTCTCTCTGGGCCTAATGACAATATATCTGCTGAACAAAACTCCGCATTGGCAACAGGAAGGGCATCTGGCCATTAAAACACTGCGAGCTCCATTCATTTGCCCAAACTCCATCCTGCAAGGAATTATGGGGTCATTAAATGATGATGATTCCTGGTTGATGTAATGTTCTTGCATTGAATTTTGATAGTCCTACCTGGGATCATTATTTTACACCAGAAAAGTAGATTTTGAATAAAAACAGGCTTCATTGTTCTATAATAGCAGTATCAGCTCTGAGCGAGAAGACATGGAAGGCCTAATGGTAGTAACAGAGCTGCAATTTTTATAGATATACGAGATAAAAAGCAAAGTTTTGCTTTTCAAAAATCTTTTTTTCTACGGAGCTACAGAACTTGGTGATTCCCATCCTATAATGGGCATTATTTACTGTCTACAGGGATGATAGAAAAAATGGGTATAGCAATTTTACTCTCTGGAAGCCTTTATAGTTGTGACACTCACCAACAAGGCAAATTATACCATTTGTAGTTTTGATGTATGTAGAATTAAAAAATGTTAATAGAATTCTTTATTGGCCAAATGTGATTAATGCAAAAGATGATAAAATGTGGCCCAATGGAGACCTAATGACCACAGAATACAACCATATATCGGTTTGCTATCTTAAGTAATTCATGCATAAGCTTTAAGGTGCATTTGTTTTATATGACAACTTGGCTGGTTGTGGACAAAACACATAATTTTCAAGACCCAGCAGGTGCATTCTCCTATTATATTAAATCTGGGGCATAACTTTATTTTCCATGGATTGTGTTATGCAACTAGCTATGTTACATAGTTTGGGTAATGAAAAGTCTGCAAGAAAACAACCAAGCACCAAGGATCCCTCATTTCAACCCGAACAAATATTCTTCTTTATTGTGTTATGCAAATCCAGCCAGTTTTGCTTATGCAGTAAACCATGGTCAGGCATTATAGATGATCTTTCCCTCTGCCAGGATTGGAAATGGAGACCCTAAATATGGCATGAATCCAAGGATTGTACAGTATAAATGGTGGATTAGCAATCAGTAAGAGCTTTTGCTGCCCTGCCAGGAATTCTTGTATCTCAAAAGAGAAGGGCTAAGAAGATAAAGAACTCTCTTAAGATGTTTTGTAATTTAAGGTGAAGCCAGGATGATGCCACCACTCTGTCCCATTTTCAGAGCTTCCCCGGATAGCTTCCATCTCCTCCCCTTCTCCTCCCTCCCCATAATATCTTTGTTTTGCAAAATGGAGGATGCTGACTGAGAGTACATAGTCTGCTTGATTAGTGAAACTGTTAATCACTGAATTTGTGCAATGTGTTAAGTCAATCAAAATCTATTCCTAGGTAGCCCCAGTTTAATATAGTGGGAGAGTGTACTTACTGGGTCTTGAAGATTACCTCTTTTGTTAATCTAAAAGCCAGCCAAATTGTCATACGAAGCAATTACACAGAAAAGGTTTGTGTCTGCTTCTAGGTTTTGTTGTGAGAAATGAACAGTTTCCAACATTAGATCAATTATCTTTGGGATAGAAGCTAAAAGGTGAATATTTAGAGTGTGGGGGTCTTAATGTGGCAACTTTTAAGACTTGTGGACTTTAACTCTTTTTTTTTTGGTAAAAGTTTTATTTGGGTTTTCACAAAACATAATGAAAACATCTTTTTTTGAGAACAGCATGATTCCAGGTTATCACATCTCCATACAGACATAATCTCAGTTCATATTATATATTCATATTATATATTCAATTTCATATCTTGTCACTATTTTATCAATTTCTCAATAATTTTTCCCTTCCCTTACTTTATGATTGTCTCATTCCTTTCTAATTCAATTACATAGCTTTTCCTAAATTTCTATAACTTTCTAGTCATTATACTTGTACTTTTGTCTGGTGGATTTTAAGTCTTAAAGCTGCCAGGGTTGGACACCCGATTTAGAGTTATAGTTCTCACACATTGCTTTGCTTTGGTCTATACATGATTGGGTTGGGTTGGGCTGGGTTGGCTTCACAATTATATGAACACAACCATTATGGTTTCTCTGTAACCATGTATGATGTAGGTTTACAGCAAACTGTGATGTGATGTAGACAACGAGTCCCTGCTTTAGGTGTTGACTGGACCTGAAAGAGGAGGCATGCAAGTAGGTTATATCACTTAAAGTGCCAAGAAGGAGGTGGATTCCTGGCCAGAGATGAAGGGCACTAAACATCTGGTCCAACAGAATTTTTCCTCTAGATCTAGATGGAGCACATGCTGGGTTTTTAAACAGAACTGTTTGTTAAAAAAAACAAAACACTTTTCCTTTGTACAATGCTCGTAACCATGCTTCCCTCATTTTTGACTGGGGGAGCAAAGTGCCTATTTTTGCAAACGAAGTGTATTTCTTCTTGGTAAAAATTAGCATTCTGGCTTCAACTATGAAGCATGTTGAAAAGATCAATAAAATAGCAGAAAGAGCCGAGGAAAGACATTGGCCTATTCTGTGCAAAGCCTTCTGGCTTTTAATCTCCAGCAATCCCAGCTAAAGGGATTGAACAGAGGAGAACATCAAAGTCTAGATTAAGGGGGGGCTGTCTTTTCTAATTTAGATCACATCTCCTTTGCAAATTCATCTTGGCAGCGAGAACATTTAACTGTTCTATCACTTGCCTGGTAGGAAATGAAATGTCACGAGGGGCCACATTATGTCTTCTGGCATGTCTCATTTAATTTGCCCGTTTCTGGGGAAATACCAGACAGCTGTTCTGTTCTTGCTGAAATGACATCTTTACCCTCGGGCTGAAGAATAGCAAACCTGCAGAGTGATAAGATTTCAAAATGCTTCTGTGTGCCCAGGTGGGCAAAAATCCTTTCAGGCCGAAAACTAGATTTCCAAAGGCCAAATGTTTTAGTCTAAGCTTCTTCTGTTAGGTGAATTTTTAATTAGGAAATCTGTGAGGCTCCTTACGAGAGGGTGCAGAGCTTATAAAGATGGATCACTGTAGAGAATGAGATCTGAAAAAACCATGTGTTTTCCATCCCTCTGCATTTATCCTAGGTGCGTTATCTCTTGGAATGGGGAGATGATGACCTGGAAGATCCCAAGGAAGCAAGCAATATGGGGACCCCAGAATTATGTCATCCTTTGTGTCAGTGTTCTAAATGCAGTCCTGTGCAAAAGGTTGGTGGATGCTCCTGTCAGGTTGGCATGTATGTTCTGACTTGGCTTGTAAGAAGTCTGTGATTAATAATCGCACTTGTCTTCTAAAGATGTTCCCATGAGCTGCTTTCCTCACTAAGTGGGCTGTTGTAAGGATCAAGGGAAATTCATTTCACTGCTGAGGAAAGGAGTAGAAGGTTTTCCAAAGGAGGTGGCTTTATAGCCTTGACTCAGCTGTCTCTTCTACAGCTTGTTGTCTCATCTTCTGCTTCAGCAAAGTTCTGTACCTATGCAAGTAAGCCAATATCTTCCTTTCCCAGCAGTCTGGTGTCTTTCTTGTCTTTTTTTCCCCTCTCCCATGGTATCTAGAATTGCCATTTTAAATCTGCAAATTTGTAGATCAAGGGCCTCTTTTTTGATTAATTGCTCTCAGGGTCTGAAAAGTCCTCCTTAGTCTTAATATAATTTCACATTGGTGCATTTTGCATTGCTCCACTCATAGTAACACGTAGAAAGTTTGAAATAAAAACAGCGCGCGTTTGGTGATTGTTATGTCTTGGTCTCAGATGGTTGGGGGATAGATTGTGCAGAAATGCTGAGCTGATGTCCCATGTGCTTTTATTTCTCCCAACAGAAATTCTTCAGGCTGCCTTCGAATGGCCTCGGAGTGAACGTTACCAACCAAACTGGTCTGATGTCACTGCATGTTGCTGCTCTACATGGGCATGTGGACTTGGTAGCCCTCTTACTGAAACATGGAGCAAACATTGAAGCCAAAGATGGGAACCAAGCAGGACCTCTCCACTTTGCCTGCCAGAATGGTCATTTTCAGGTGAGCCCCCAGGTGGACAGCTAGGGAGCCCATGAATGAATACATTGGCCTTTGGATCATGGTTAGGCAACCTGTGGCACCACCTGTGCTCACAATGTTAATAAGTAAAGCTCAGTCCAGAGGTGTCACTTGAAGCACTAATTGATCATGTTCACATTAACCTACTTTGGACATATTATGTAAAGACCTAGCTCTCTGGAAAAGTCTCTGTGTCAAGCCTGAATTTAATTTGGTGGTGGAATTGTATGAATTCAGTTTGACACACCTGAAGACTGGAAGGAGGGGCCTGAGGTGGATTAAGCTCCAGCCAAAACAACATAGCTGGGCGATGAGTCAGCTGCATTCCAACTGCTGCTGGGCCAGAGGAAGGAGGAGCAAAGTTGCTAGGAAACTATTTTATATCCTGGTTGGACAATGTGACTAATTGTTTTGGAAAAATGAGAACCTTTTAGTTATGTGGAAGCCCGGGAAACTTTCAGTACTGGTTTTTACCAGTTAGTTCCAAGATGTGTAATCAAATAAAATAGTTCTTTGAGGAATAGAAATGCCTCTGAAGCAATTTAATGATGGCTGCATTACTTGGAACCTGACACTCTGTTGCAGGGAAGGGTGGAAGGGAAAAGAAAAGGGTGGATAGATTCAGTTGCAGTGGTGAGGAGGGCACCATTGGAAGACCCCAAAAGACCAGGTTAGTCTTGGAGAAAATCTTACCTGTGTGGCCACTAGGAATCAATATCAACTTGATGGCACATAATCAGAATAAATAATTAAAAGCAGAAGATTTCATACATTTCTCCCCCAGAATGTGTGACAGTGAAAAGTTTTTGTTGTTTTGTGTTGAAACTCACTAGTTGTAATGCCCTTTTCCCAACAGGTAGTGAAATATCTGATAGAGTGCAGAGCTAAGCAAAACAGAAGGGACATTTATGGAAATACCCCCTTAATGTATGCTTGCTTGAACGGCTATCAGGAGATAGCAGCCATTTTATTACAGGTGAGAAGATTGTTATTCAATATTGTTTTTTCACCTGTTTTTCTATTCTTTTTGCCTTAGCAGTCATAAATCAATGACTCCTTTTTCATGATTGCAAGAATTGAGATCTAAAATATTTGTTTTCATTTTTACTGAAGCTTGTTTCTCACAATTTGGAAGTTATAGAAATATGGGGTTTGTTTAAACAAGCAAGCTGTTTTCTCACTTTGTCTTTTACGACTGTGTTGAAGAGAAGGCACAGAAATGTGTATATCATCTCTTAAATCTGAGGGAAGAAATGTGTGAAAATAAAGGATTGGGGTGGAACTCAGCTTAGCTGCATGGTAACCTTGCAAAAAAAAAGATCATTTTCTGCATTTCCAGTTGAAAAGATAAGATAGCACACATAGGAAAAGCCTTTTCTTCAGACTTTAATAAAAAACTGCTACAGAAACTTTTTTAGGAGATATTCTAAGAAAAGTGAGAACTTAATGCTTATGACTCTTGAATACCAAGGAATGTACGTATATTTTCTTTGAATTTTTTTTTGCAGGACCCTGATAGATTAAACAATATTGCCCATGAATGAATGGAGTTTGAAGGCTTTGAAATTTGCAAGCGTGGCTTGTAAAAGAAATGTTCTTTTTTTCCTATTTTTCCTTTTCTAGCATGGAGCCTCAGTTAACCTTCCCAATAACCAAGGGAACACACCTCTTCACAAAGCGGTGATAGGAAATTATGACGCTGTGGTTCAGTTGCTGCTGCAGAATGGCGCATTGGTGCACCTTAGGAACAACAGGCAATGCACCCCTCTTGACTATGCTGAACCTGTAAGTGTTGTGTGAAGTCTCAGAATCATTATCTATGCCAAAAAATGCTTAAATCTTCATAGGGCTCACAATGTTTCCCAGCCCTTGATATGTCCTAAAGCAACAAGGCATGAGTTGGTTGATAGAACCTATTCAGATGGTCCTGCTTAATGCTGTTCAAAATTATGAAGGCGCTGAATAATATTGATAATTATAACCAATCCTTGAAGTTCTGCTCTTGTGGCACCTTCGTGATCATGATCTGGGTGTTCAGCAACTGGCCTGGATTTCTGGCCAAGTATCCACAGTCATGTGATTGCGATTTTCAGTCCTTCCTGCTGGCTTCTTTCCCATGAGCCAAGACAGTGGGGAAACCAGCAGGAAATTGAAGACACAAGAAGTCCTCACTTAACAACTTGCAGTGATTTATTTAAGGCATGGTAACCAGAACTACTAGAATTACTGTTGCTAAGCAGCTGATCATCTGACATTATGCTCTACAACCTCACTGCTTAATGAAAACATCAATCCCATGTATGATCCTTTAAGTAAGGACTGTCTGTGAAGATAAAAATGTCCTAGTTCAAATCAGGCCATTGTTTCAGGATTGCTTAGAATGACTGGGTTGCTCTTTATGCTCAACTCATGCCTTTATTTGTTGTATGATCCCACCTGCTGAATTTTTTAAACCCGTGTTGATAGATATGTCCCACAAAATCAATCCATTGTGGTCCAATCAGTACATCAGAAACCACCAGTTCATCCCGTAAGCTTAGAGATGCTGAGCTTGCCTGCACACTTGGTTTTTGTTCACTTAGTGCAGCCTTTTCCTCTTCTGCTTTAACACAGCACGATCAGATTTAAAGACGGGACAACGGGTTTCAATTTAATCTCAAGACGGCATGGTTGGGTGACATATGCAACATCAGTGGGATTCAGTAATCTTTTTAATAAGAGCAAATCCTCCCGTTTATCCTTTCTCTTCCACCTTGTTTAAAGAATTCAGGCCTCCTCAAGCTTCTTCAGGCTGCAGCATCCGAGGAGGAAGCCAGACAGACGCTCTGCAAAACTCACATGACACGAAGGATCAGGAAAAAAAGTGAGTGTTCCATTGTGACGAGTGAAAGCTTACAGAGAATAAGAGCAGCTAGAACACAGAAATATTGTTTTGATTCCTGAACAAATTAAAAGTATCTTGTCTCTTTGCTGGTATGTTTTGACCTGTGTGTGCAAGAGGATAGCTGGCGGTCAGTGTTTGTCTGACTGTTGCTGGAGTTTTTGCAGATGATGATATTTAAGTGTGTGCAATCCAGCAAGGCTGCCGATTACTTTGAAATAGAAATGAAGAGCAGCGATTTTGGGTCTTAAATCTTTGGCCTCAAACTTTTTTTTTTTTTTTTGCTTAATGCCGAGTTGTTGAATACTGCAGTAATGTTGAAATGTTAATTGGTAGAGTTTGGGCCAGGACCAAGGGTGAACTTGGCTCTAGAGAAGCTAAACCTTTTTATTTTCTCATTGTGTAAGCAAGGTTGTTACCCGTGGCTTTTATTCCTAGCTTTAAAACGACACCCACTCTGAGAATCTAGAAATGGAAATGGCGAAGAGTTACCTTTCTTTTCACAACTGACTTGCAACATAGATTGCAAATTGCATCTCATTGGCTTTCGTTACTCAGAATGAGAGCAATTGACCACCCTCACTCATCCTGCAAATGGGTCTCTAAAATGGGTACTTTCTACCCGATTGGTGGATTAAGGAATTCATCCTCCTTAAAAATTCCTTGCTGTAAATCAGATTGAAAGTCCATTTATTCCAGTGACTCCTCTCTTACATAGCCTGGAAGAACTTTGTAGAAAACTCACAAGTTACAATCCTTACACAGCTGTTCTTGTCTGGGGTCCTATCTCAAGGCAGACCGTCCTTGGACTGTTGTGATTTCTACAGAAAACTTCCACAGGGCATTATTTTCAGCTTGCACCTAACAAAACGTAAATGGCAAAGCTAGCAGTATCATAAAAAATTCTTTGGCCTACAGAGCTGTGGTATTTAAAACTATTTCCCATAGGAGTGATCTTTGTGCCTGTACATACCTACAACTGCAGGCATACGTAACGGTGAGAAACCTCTACAGATAGTCCTTGTTTAGTGGCTTGACTCTTTTAGTAACCATTTGCAGTTAGGACAGTGATAAAGTAAAACTGTCTTTGCATTATGACCTCTGCAGGTTAAGCAAAAGAAAGCTGGAGATGATTAAGCACAAGTTGTGGTTTTACTTTGCAGTCATTTCACTTAATAACCAAGTTATGGGTCTCAATTGTGTTGCTAAATGAGGACTAACTGTAGTTTGTTTTCTATACGCAATGGAAGTTTTATTATTTGTAAAGTGAGCATCCAAACATATCCTGTACTTGCTGCTGAAAATTATATAGTCTGTTCCAGATCTCATTCTGCCTGAAGTATTGATCCATCCATAACCCATTCAGCTTTACAAGGTGCAGTGTCACCATGACGCTGAACCTACTTAGGCCTTTCTTTTGCTTGTCAAAAAAAGAGATTACGCTGATTTTAATGGAGGATTGCCTAATCCTCCAAGTGCTCAAGAATACTGCCCATTTCATGAATATTTGTGCTTTAAATCTACAGTCAGTTTTAAGACTCCTGAGACAACGGAGGATATCATTGCCCAGCACCTTCAACTACTCGAGTCAATCCACCGATTTAACAAGTAAGCTTCAACTTTTGGTGAGGTATTTAAAATGCCGATACTAAAAAATATTGCCAGAGTAAATGAGAAGAGCTGACTGTTGTGGTCTGCCAGCGGCCTGCAGAGCTGGCAGCAGAGTTGGACAGTGGAGAAGAAGATGGGCCAGTCCGGAAGTCTGGGGAGGGCTCGGATGAGGGATCTGCATCCGACACAGAGATGGGGCCAGGGCCATCTGGGAGTTGTGTGCTGACTTCGGAGCCTCCAGAATCTGACATCAGGGAGGCAGAGGAACAGGGGGAGCCAGTTCCCAGCGCGCGCATGTGCAGAGCTGCCAGAAGGCAAGAACAGTTAAGACAAAAGGGGCGACTCGGGAGTAAGGCTGGGAGATGATTGGCCCCTCCCATAAGACATAAAGGAGGACTAAAGTGACATGAGCCTTTGCAGGAAGCAACTTTGTTCGTTCTGGTCAGTTTAAACTCTGAAGCTTCATGTTGACTTTGTGCTCCGTTTGGCCTTGTACAGCTAATTGGCAATTTAATCATTGGCAGCATTTTGAGGGAGATAAAGGTGGGTGCTTATCAGCCTTATCCCGAAAAGACCGTGGGAGACTTCTGTTGGACTATTCACAAACTGTTTGGGACTCATTACGGGCTGTGAATGAATATAATTCACAGCCATTGAAATAAAGAGGGTTTTGGGGACTAAGCATGTGATTGTTATTGTCTCAGGAAGCCTTGGTCAGAACATCGACGTTACCTCAGATATTGGCATCTAGTAAGGACTGAATCTTTTGATGATCTTCCCTGAATTATGGGGACATGTTATAGCGTATGTTATTAACTTCTGTGGGAATTACCGGTCGTCTTTGACTTAGATTGTGCCCAATATTACAGGCTTTTTGACACAGTCGTTAAGTGAATCATATGGTAGTTAAATGAATCCTGGTTTCCTCATGGATTTTGCTTCTTGAGCGCCATCTGGGACGGTCACAAATAGCACTGCTGTGACTCTGGGACATTGCAACCATCATAAATACATGCCAACTAAGTGCCCAAATTTTGATCATGCAACCACAGGAATGCTGTTACAGCTGGTACATGTTAAGACTGGTCGTAAGTCACCTTTTTTCCAGCACCGCCATAATTTTAGTTGTTAAACCAATGGTTGTAAGCCGAGGAGTATCTGAAATTGATATTATCAATGTTTTGTATTGGCTGTTCTAAAAATAGAAGGACTGTTTTAAGTCTCTATGCTGAGTGTTTATGCATTTCAAGATTATTGAATTGAACTCAAAAGGAAGATAATCTTGAATTTGAGATGATCCATCCAAACCAGGAAAGAACACATTATAAATGTACATTCATGATTATATATATATATGTTCGGGTATTTTCCCACGTCATTGTAGTTGTGCTTTTGAATGCCATACATGTAAGTACCCGCGAAAACTTAAGAAAACATTTTATATATATAATGTGTGTGTGTGTATGTGTGTGTGTATATGTATATATGTGTATATGTATATGTATATATGTACACACACACACACACACACACATCAGAAGCTACATGCTAAAAGGGCAAAGACAAAAAATACAGAAATGAATAACATTAAAATTAATTGCCTATAAATAAAATGCATCCCAGAAATGCTTCTGACATATAAAATGCAAGTTAGCTATCTCTAATTTAGACAATTGGAGGAATGGCTTATAGTCCAGAAAATACCTTTAAATTGTTTTGTTTCAGAGCTTTAAATTTACAAATTTCAAAGGGGATGTCCTGACATTTATTTTCAAGAAAGCTCAATCAGGCATTAGAAGTGAAAGCAAGGCTGGTCCTTTTTCAATTGAAATATTGCCATCTGGCGGCTGGCCTGAGGAACCTAGTGACATAGACTGAAGCATGGAGTAACTTAATTTTCATCTTGTGTTCCCTTAGATCAAGAGACCTGCGCAAAGCCATAACAAAAGATAAAAGTATGCCTAACTTTGATGAAGAATTATTGCACCAGGTAAGTATACAGTAAGAGTTTCATACCACTGCAGTTCTGTTTGTTTTTTAAACACGAATAAATTCTGCATGGGATAAAACGTTTAGCTCTTTTTTATAGAATAAAAACATGAACATTTGGGGTAGAAGAGGAAAAAGTTAAAAGGGAAAGATGTTTGTATAGCTAAGGCAAAAACCTATCTGGCTGTCAGGACCTAGAGTAAGATTTGCCAATATTCTCTTTGCTGCAGAAAAAAAAGGGAAATGAACGGCATTAGCAGCGAAGATTTAATTCTCTTTCAACATACAATTTTAATTTCAGCCTTGTGGAATCTTATCAAGGCATTTTGATATTCTCCAACCAGGGATTCTAAATGTATCTCCGATTAGGGCATGCAATTATTTCAAGCTTGGAACAAAATTAACACTTTTTCAAAGATTTTACAGTAGTAGTAAGAAACAATAGCAATTTGAAACAAAACTCTTTGAAAAGGAGAGATAGGTTGGAAATCTATAAAACAAGTAAAAAATGAATGTTGTTTTGCAGGACATGAAACAGTCAGAATGGCTGGGTTTTTTGTTTTTTTTGAGATGGAATTCTTTGCATTTCAACAAGATAAACCCTGCCATCCTTCCCTCCCTTTCTTCTTTAAGCTAGCTATCAAGAACTTTAATAACAAGCAGAACCCAGTGGATGTGTTAGAGAAAATCCAGACTCATAATCTTGATGCCAACAGCAGTGATGGACCTGTAACAATTGAAGGTGATGCAGGGATAGTGCCTTTGAGAAAAAGAGAAGTACATCGGAGTCACACTATTAGCGTGGCACTTTCAACAACAGATAGCAGTGACTTCTACAGTTTGCCCAGAGATGCAAGAGCTGCTTCCACTGACAGCTGTCCGGAAGATTGATGCTCTAAAACAAGATGAATAAGGAAATCTGGGTGTCTTAAAACAAGGAACATGAGATTCAGACAGAGTGGTTTTCCCATTCAGCATTGAAGAGGCTACTTGGGATTAATGTTTTCAAAATTACATCGGACGTTCAGCAGGAAGAGATGCTTCCCCCTCTGACTTGGCATGGAGTTTGCACTTCTGGAGACTGACACTCCTGTTTATTTTAGAATAAATCATTAAAATCCTGTACAGTAGATCAATATTTAAAAAACAAACAAACTAGAAATGTATTGAGATGTCAGAATCTATATTCTATAGTATTGCACTCTCTAATCAATTTTAGTAATAATAGGTATGTGAGAGCAAAATGTTTTATGGCATTTTGAAGGATTGTTCTATTTTTATTCTGAAAAAGCAGTGGTTTTAGTTGTTGAACTGCAGATTGATTGAATGCTTACAGTACTCCCAACAGTACAAGGTGTGTTTAAAAGTTAAAAGAGGCAAAATTGTGTAGCTGGTTTAGTGCTCACTAAATTGATTGCATTGAAGGTTGCAACAGGGAAATTAAGAGTAATAGCTTTTAACAAAGGTACATTATACCTTGTGGAAGAGAGTAGACACCCAATTAAAAAGAGAATTCCCTCTGTGAGCAGAGTTGAAACCTTTATTCAGAACATGTTTGTATTCTACAAAATGCCCACATAACTGAGCAGCCCAACCACATTTGCTATTTTAAATTATGTATTTGTGGCACACAAACAGGACTACTTAAAATGAGCCTAGTTAAGCAGAACACATTTAAGTTGCAATTTTTGAAAAGCAGCTTTATTGCCCTTACTTTCAAAGGCACTTCTAGTCTGTTGTGCACTTTTAGAAATGGAATGTCAACTTTAGGTGAACATTCAAGTCAATTATGGTGAATAGCGCAATAGTTTCATTTCATATTTGTGTTTATATAACGTTTGTATACAAAATTGTGTGCTTTTTAAATTGGTTTAATATGTCTTAACTTGTTTTAGGTAGTTAAGGTTGTCTTAGAATTTCTCTGTTCACTAATATACGGTTTAAAAACAGCCTTAGCTTGCTGCTGAAAAAGTTTATTTTTCTACTAAGTAATTCACTTAATTTTCATATGTGCCTTGGACTTGTGCCAAATAATGTATAAACTATAGTAGTAAAAATTAACAGTTCTGTGTTCTTAATATCTGACTCTAATTCAAAATTACAGTTTGTAAGCTAATCTATGTGTGTCAAAAACAGTTTCCTTAAATGTTCAGAATGTTGCTGATGCCCATATATTTGGAACACAAGGTATTTCTTGAGGAGCAGTGTGATACTTGAACATAGGATGAAATCTCACCTGCTTGGTTATGCTTGGATTCACTTTAATGTTTTATATAAACCCAACTATAATGCTTATTCAACAAGCTAATCAAATTGTCTCAACACAATCTATGAATACAGCTACAGCTGCCCCTCAAAACTACATGGAGAACTCTGTATATTTACAGATACCATCCTAGATAGAGAACTTCCAGTGTTGTACAAAATGTGTATTAAGAAAAAAACACTTTGTGGAACAGGAATAGACAAGAATTGGTCATGGCTAACTTTGCTCAATGGAAAGGTTTTAATAGATTTCAGAGCCCATACAAGCCAGAAAAAGAATTTGTCTTTTAACACTCTGACTTACATAGGGTAGATTGTATGCATGGATCAAACACTTATGTTCAGTAACAGAAAGGCATAAAATTGTTTACAGTGGCATCATGCATGAAAGATGGTCTTTGAGCTGCCTTACAACTCTGAAAATGGGAAATAATTTCAGAAGTGAATGTGTTTATGTGGTGGTGGATTACACCAAGACGAAATCCAGAAACCAGCCTTTAATTGATTTCAGCAAATTCTCCTTTTTAAAATTAACTTTGGCTAAATTATGTTCAAAAATTGAAGCATTTATTAATCCGCTTCTGTATAAAAACTACGTGCTGAAGGTTTTCTTTTCCCAAGCAGACTTTAATTAAATTTCATGATGTTCTAAGCAAAGCATCCTGAATTTGCAATATAGCAAATCAGTCAACAATACATTATACAGCCATATTTTTTGTGAACAACCCTGTCTTGCTTTGTTCCAAACCAAGTTTAGCAAAACTTTAGGAAGGGTTCTGACATATAATGTACACATATTTGTGATTCTTTGAAACCATGGTAATGCTAATCAGGCTTCAAAGCCAGTTTCAAAAACGTAACTGTCAGGGAATCCTGTTTGGCATTAATCAGAGTTAAGATCATTGAAAAATAGGTGATAATTTCTACTTGAGGGAAAAGAATACACTTGATGGCTGCTCCTCAACTTTTTATTCATGGTTTAAGAAATTAAGATTGTGTGGCTATAATGTATCCCCCCCCCCCCATTTAAATATAAAAACAAAATTCTCTTTCCAATTTGTAATTTAGCCTGTAGACTTAAATTGGTATTTGTTGGCAAGGTAGAATTTCATTTCCTATGGGACATGAAGCACCTATAGGAGAGGCAAATATATTTTCACATCTGTCAGTTGCACAGTAAATTTAACTACAGTGTCAAAGGAAAGCTGAATTATATAAAACTTATCTAAGAAAACAATTTCACTTAATTGTACAGAAGGCAAGCTTATTGGTTTTACTTTTTATAAAAATGTATACAGAACATTTTGTAAACTTTCGTCTATGATAGAACATACTTTCCTTGACATATTCCAGATGATTAGCAGTTGGCAACTGTCTTCATATTTCATCAATTAATCTTCCTCATCAGAATCCAACACTTTTCTTCTATTGAACTAGAAGAATGTTAGAATGTAGGTGAAATCAGGCTTAAATAGTTTGAGGCTAAATTGTCAGTAGTTGATTTACAGTAACAATATCAAATGTTTATGGGACACACACATGTACAGCAATTCTAGCACTGATGTGTAATCCCATATGATTACTTGCTAGTCTTCCATACAATTTTGAAGGTGCACAAAATGAAAATGTACTTTTAAAACTTATCTACTTAAATCCTTCATAGCATCTAAGCTGGGGGTGGGGAAGGAGGCAGAAGGAAGAATCTGGACAGTTTGCAGATAAAAGAAAACAAGGCATATCAAAGAGGAAAAAAGACAACTGACCAGGGTCAAAATCCAAAGAACCAAATAGCAAAAACAAAACATACAAATGGTCAACCACCATCCTTACCCTAAACTTGAAAGAACAGTCAGTTTCTGGAATATTGAGAGTGGGAACAGTTCAAAGATGAAGAGTAAAGAGGGAAAACATTAAAAATGGGCTAAGAAAAAAAATCTGCAATGTATATATCTGTAAATAATCTGTTGCCAGTTTCAGTGATGTAATTTGCTCTATTCTACATAAAGAGCTACATCAAATACCCAATGCCAGCTATGCTGTGTCTTCTACATTTCTTCTTTTCTGTACGAAGCAGATATAATTAGTTTGAATTAGTTTTAAGACCTCTTACCTTGACTGTTGTTTTTTTGTCCGTTTGCTGACTCACTTTTTCAAGTATTTCTATCAACCCTTGTTCTGATACCTAAGAAGCCAGGAGAAGAATAGAAAGAATATTTACTTGGTAGTATGGTACACAGAGCTCTTGCTGAAAAATGCATGGTTTTAAAATATTTACAGCTCCCATTTTGAATTATTGGTTCCTTATTTATTAAGCTACAAATAGCAACAATCAACTGTACTATATTTACGACTTTGTCCTCCACATACAATAGCATATTAGCAAAGAACAGAAGCAGAAGCAAAGGTGGGGATACCATCAAAATATTATGAATAGCTAACTGCTTGCTTTACTGGTTATATTAATTGTTCAAGTCACTAATCTCTTCATTCTCCAGAATGCTCAGGGGGCTTAGGAGACAGGCTGCTTCTTCCCCCCCTGAAGCAAGTTCTAGAGAAGGTAGGAAACATTCCTGTTTAGCTACATCGCCAGCAGAAGTTCTCTTGGAGCAAGTGATCCATCTATATCCTCTTTTCTATAAATATAAAACAGCTTCTTCTTCTCTGAAACCAGAGAGGATGTTACCCAGGGAGACAGATAAAGGACCATCCTAATAGCAGTGAACATTTTTTTAAAAAATTTTTTTGGCAGGCTGTTATACCATCCAAATTCCAAATAGGAAAAAAATAATCAGGTTTTTGGGGAGCATATAGTGCCCTCAACTCTACGACTTTGAACACTTTGCTAGAGAGCAATATTGCAAGGGACTAAGAACAAGAAATAAACTTACTTTTCCACCTAGCTGTCCAAATCTTGCCATCTGTATAAGATAATTTTCAACCGCCTTTGCCTTTTCTGGCTTTACAAGTGCTAAATTGCTTACTGCAAGAAGAAAACAGATACTTGGCAAATTAAACGTCATTCATTTGTTAGAGATATATCTGGGTTGCTCTCTCAAGAGCTGAAGACTACAAGGAAATCTTCCCTTCATTTTAACCCCACAGCAAAACTGGCCTTGGCTTGGTGGAGGCCCAAAATCACCAAGTAAATTTCCAATGTCGATATGACTTGAATCTGATCTCTCCAGCCCTAGTCCAATACTTTAAGTACCATGCTGGCTCTCACAACTCTATATTCAAGAACAAAAAGGTTTATTACATCCATCCCAGTCTTTTCACCTTAATCTTGAATTAAGAAGGGCAACCCTTATACTTACTGCTGTTTAAATAAAACCTATTTGTAAAACCAACTAAAGAATGGTACAGAGGTTCAAGGAGTAGTTTGTATTTTAACTGATCTTAGGACAACTCTACAATGTTTGCTTTAGTTATACATGCACCACTTTTTCAAGTAACGAGATCAAGTAATTGCTGCAAATATTCAGATGCCAAAATCAAGACAAAATGAAATACCTACAGGTAGTATATAAATATTGCTATAATTAAGGATATTAAATATAGCATACTGTATGACACCAGTATCAATTCAAAGCTGGTGAGGAAGTGGAGGACTGCTGACCCATGAAATTCTGAGTATGCATACAATGTCAGTACCATTTAGGCATGGATGGTATTACAGCCCATGACACTTCCTTGCAATGAAATAAGACTTTTAACCTAGAGGTCTATACCAAGATTCTTCTGTCTTTCTTTAAAATCTGGTTCTTCCCTGGGCATTGGGCTAGAATGTTGGATGTATCCATCTTGATTGAAACTGTGATTGGCCTGTGAATTTTGTTAGTTTTGTTGCTCTGTTTATTTCTCTTCCATTCAAGAGTTTATTGTATTCTGTTTTCTAGTCCCTTATTTGAATCTCTTACAAATGTCACCCAAAATTGCTTTCTGCAAACTGAATGGTCATATACAGCAAGTCAAACAATGTTAAATAAATACTTACATCTGGCACGTGCTGCTTGATCCAAAACCTGAGCCAAAATATTATTTCGCATTTCAACTTCCCTGTAATAATGAAATAATTTTACACAGCAGAAAATAAAAAATTGCTCCAAAGACTTTTGCTTTCTGCTAAAATGTTAATTATAATATCTATATAAAGCAATGCATGACTTAGTTATTATATCATTGTTTGGAATTTTCCATTAATTATTCCAGCATATTAATTTTTAACATTAACATATGTTTAATTTTTATAATTCTTCAAAAACTGAAAATCAAATCAGTTTTCCATTTATAAGTAATTGCTAGAGCAATTTTTAAAAACAGGATGACATTACAAATTATCCCAGAAAGCTCATATCCTAATAATAAGTTAACTGGTAAAACATAACATCCATTACCAGCTTTGATCATGAATATATCTTTCAGCATTGAACAGTAAAATGTTTTAACAACAGAATACTGGAGAAATTTTAAACAAGAGAACAGAAACCATTGATTCCACTGTTTGCAGAGAATCATAAAAGTTAGTGCACACCCATTACAACTTTCTCTTTCCTAAAGATTTTCCAAATATTCAATAATATGCCATTTAAAATGCTGCAATGCATGTTTTTGAAAGAAAATATATACTCTATCATGAAATGTTTGCAAAAGCATACAAAATCATGTTTATATGATCCAAATATTCTTAAAGCCACAAGAACTGAAACTGAATGTTCATAAGCTGTGGTCCTAAGTTTGGGATATGCCCCGTTGTTAGAGAAAGAGAGTAAGTTCTAGAAACAAGTACTGAAATAACACAGCAATACCTCTGTTTTGATTCTTGTTGTGCAATTTCACTGGAAGGATCCTAAAAGGTTAGAAATAATCAGGTTATTGATAACTGAAACAATAAACTGAAGATGTTTGTTCTGAGCCCTGATTGGCAAAATGCTAAATCATGCATGCTATCAGCTTAATATTACAAGAGTTTCAAGGATAGAATTGCTCAACATCATTTGACGCTTATATGCACAAATATTAGCGTCTTAACAAGAAAGAATTTAAGGGTCAAAGGAAGGTACATTTTATTTGGGTGTTTTAATCAGCCAGTGTCTATCCCTTTTAGAACATATAAACTGCAAATATATACAATCTTCAGTGCTTCTATGTCAAAAGTAGTTTCATGTTTTGTACAGAAAAAAAACTACTGTATATACTCAATTCTTAGCTTATCTGCAAATATATTGTACTTTCCAACTGGAAAATCATCTAATTTTAGTATTTCTCTGAAATGGGGTAGCCCAGAAAGATGCTGGCTTTTCCTACACAGAAACTGAAAAATAAAGTAGCAAACTAAATCTCCTTTATTGGAAAACAAAACAATGCAGTTTCTCCATTCAGGGCTAATTTGGTATAGCGGTGAAGACACTGGCCTAGAATCCAGAAGATGGTGAGTTCTAGTCCTTTCTCTGTATGAAAGTCGACTAGGTGGCTTGGGC